GATCATTGTTAGACTACTATTAAAAACTTGAAAGCACTGAACTGCCATTTTGTCCTAGTATGAGACTCATCAGCAGTGTGCATCCACAAACTCACTTAAAGGTGTCGAACCCAAGAGCTTCGGTCTCGCGTGCAAACGCTTCACCTTCAGAGCATTGAGCCAGAACCCTGCGGTGTGTTAATGTTTGAGTTCAGGTAATCCAACGTATTGCGCAACGTCACTCATTGTCTTCAGTGGGCCCGACCGAAACTGCTACCTTGACGTGGTGGTCGGGCTTGCCTATCGTGATGACCCAACCGAGCTATATTGGCTGGAACATATGTTCCTGAAGGTTCTACCATTCCAGGCAGGTCGATTGGAGAACGATGAGACTAAAAGCAGATACTCAACGCCTGAGAGCGAAGTCGTACTGCTGACTGTGATGGAGGGGTGTGACAGCAGTAGTGTTTCCCTCGGACAACCAGCATCGGCAGCGATGCTATCTTCTGACAAGGAAGGAAGGAGTTAGAAAAGGTCAACCCTTAAAATGTCAGACCTCACCTAACCTCACGGATTTTCTTCTCCTTGGGTAAGGGTGCCCACTAAGGGCCTTCAAGAGCGGAGCTAACACTCAAAAAACTTCTCATAAAAAGGCCGTGCGTGACCGACCTCAAGCAGTTGTCCCTTGGGCTCTGCGGTCACGCACCCAGGTCTCCAAGACCAACACTAATCCACCTTCCTTTTCAGGTCCCTCAAGAAACAACCTTGCACGGTGTGGGCAGCCGGGAAGTTATAACCGCCCTCATACCCGTAACAGCACACCAGACTGACTTCAGTGAGTATCTAATCTGCCTTACACCTGACAGGGTTGAACTCCACTCGGTCACGACTTCTCATTTAAACTCTATGAATTTTTTTTCACTAAACTAGTCACTAATGAGCATATTTCATTACAACTCTATAATAAAAATCATCATGCTTTCAGTTTTTTTGCACTCTGATTGATCAACTAATAGAGTTTGCTTGTTATCATTATTATTATTATTATTATTATTATTATTATTATTTTGTGTATTAGATTTACAAAAACAATTAGAACAAGGTAATCTTGATCCAAATGAATTAACACGTGCATGTCAAGCACAAGCAAAAGATTTTCCCAAGGGAATTCCTCAATGTGGTACAGATGCATTGAGATTTGCTTTATGCGCTTATACAGCACAAGGACGTAATATCAATTTGGATATAATGCGTGTACAAGGTTATCGATTTTTCTGCAATAAACTATGGAATGCTGTCCGGTAAGTATTGTAAATATTCATGGGTGAAGTTTTTAATTCAGTCAGTCAGTCAGGTGCAACGTAGAACTTCGTACGTAAGTACATCAGTTCATGTCGCCATACCACATCAGCACAGAGATGTAATTGTCAATTCAAATCCAATAGTAGAAGAGGTATTAGAAGTAATCCGAGAGGTTAGCATTAGAAGATATTATTCAAGAAGTATGATTCAGTGAGATAAGTTTAGAAAGTCAAAACTAGAGTTGTTGAAGAACCCAGAAGATTAGGATTTGAGAGAACACATAGCATAAATGCACGTGCGCCATTGCGAACGATTTTGAGCCATGTCATTCAAGGTCTCTAACCATCGATTATTATCATCTCGCGGACCCCAACCAGGTAGTCGACAATTACCGACATGGCGAAGTCCACTAGTCAATGACTTCATGGATTTCTGCCGTGTTTTGGTCTGGCCGCCCCTAGCTTTCTTCCAACCTACTCCTACAATGCAAAACAAAGCTCGTCGCGGCAGTCGGTGGTTAGGCATACGCAACACATGTCCCAACCACCTCAACTGATAAAGTTTCATTACTTCATCTATTGATTTGCCATTCTTACCTAGCACCCGATTCCTAATAACAGCGTTGCTCACGCGGGTGTCCCAGGATATACGAGCAATGTCTCGAAGATACCTATGGTCGAAAACCAATATCCTACGAATATCTTCCTCTCTCACTGGCCATGTTTCGCAGCAATAAAGTAAGTCGGACCGAACCACTGCACAGTACACTCATCCTTTAGTCAGCTAACGGATATCTCGCCTTCGCCATAAGTGACGCAGGTTGGCAAAAGCCAATCGAGCCTTCTGTATCCGATCTGAGATTTCGTCAGTCACCAGGCCATCAGCACTGATGAGACTCCCCAGATAAGTGAAGCGGTCTACACGTTCGACTTTCGAATTTTTTAATTAGTTTTGATGTACGTATACACACATATACGACATGGCTCAGAATCGGTTGCAATGGCGCAGGTGCATCCACTCTTTGTGTTCGATGAAATTCTAACCTTCTGAATTCCTCATAATCTCTATCTTTCTCTTTCTAAATTTATCTTACTGAATTATACTTCTCGAATCATATCTTCGCTCCCTAATCTTCTCCATTGCTGCTAATACTTCTATTATTGCTATCACTCTTGGATCCGAATCGACAGTTGCGCCTCTGTGCTAATGTGGTATGGCAACCTGAACTGATGTACTTGCGTACGAAGTTCTGAGTTGTGTCTGTCTGTATTCTGTACAAATTACTTCAGTGTAACCATTCGGTCACATATTTTTTTAAAACATAAGTGATTGAAGTTAGACATTAATAACGTTGGATATCAGTTCAGCGGTCTAGAGGTTGAGGGTTTGCGCGCTAGACCGGAGGTCTTGGGTCTGATTACCTTTTGCTTGGGGTTCGTGGATGCACACTGCCGATGGGTCTCATGCTAGAACGAAATGGCCGTCGGGTGCTTCCAGATCTTCAATGCTGGTCTGATGTTGAACATTTATTGATTTCAGCGAAACTCAACTATCTCCACAACCCTAACAGTAGAATCCGGCACATGCGTTTCATCTTATTCCCACCCTCTCAAATAGATGATGTACTGATATCTTATTGATGGTGTTCCTAGATTCCACTGCTTGCCATAATTCATCTATTCTAAAAAAAATATTTGAGTTTGAGAAATCATGGGATTTAGTTGAAAAACAAAACATCTAAGATTAATTTTGTCTATCGATAATCTTTTTTTCTGTACGTCAACTAGTGTTGGAAGTAAATTCCGTTCTACATTTCTTGCGTTTTGTTCGCCTGTTCAGTGTTTAGGAGTAGAATATTTTATTTGGATTGACAGGTCAGTGTGTAAGTTGAAGCGTACCGATTTTTTATCAAGTGAGGGGAACTATTAGTAGCCCAAAAATCACTAACTAATCAACTGTTTCGTTTCGAGTTTGTGGATCGTTGGCTTGGTGCACATCAACCCAGAATATCTATGTATTCTGATGACTACAATATCCATAGTGTATAATAAGGAAATTTCTGTTGATCGACTATTGCTTCTTTGAGTTAAATGTTTTTACTCAGAGGGTCAGATTTTGAATGATGCTCTCCCGTTTGCTTGGAACCCCTAATACGCCGAGAATGGGGATAGTCCTTTCTTCCTCTCGAAATTATCTTGTATAGCCAGTTCACTCCGTCCTACTATACGGATGTGGAACATGGCCGTTAATAGCAGAAGACTGCTTGTCTTCGATCATAGGTGTCTCCAAAGCATTCCTCGTATATCCTGGGACAGCCGAGTAAGCAAGGATGTTGTTAGGATACGAGTACTAGATAGGGATAACAAATCAATAAGTGAAGTATTGAAACTTCAGTTGAGGTGGTTGGGACATGTGTTATGTATGCACAACCGTCAACTACATCAACGAGCGATGTTTTTTGGTGTAAGAGGTTGGAAGAAACCTGGGGCTGGCAAAATCAAGACATAGCAGAAATCCATAAAGTCACTGACAAGTGGACTGAGTCATGTTGGTAGATGTAGGCTATCTGGTTGGGGTCCACGAGATGAAAGTCACCAATGGTTAGAGACCTTGAACGACATGGCTCAGAATTGTTTGCAATGGCACAAGTGTATCCACTCTTTGTGTTCTCTCAAATTCTAACTTTCTGTATTCCTCATCATCTCTATCTTTCTCTTTCTAACTTTATCCCACTGGATTATACCCTAATCTTTCCGATTTCTGCTAATACTTCTACTATATATACCGCTATGTGATTTGAACTGACATTTGCGTCTCTTTGTTGATGCGGTATGGCAGCCTGAACTGATGTATATCCGTACGAAGTTCTATGTTCTGTCTGTATAGCCACTAACAAGGAAGTCTTACTCACTAGGTTCTCATATTGTTTACGAAACTAACAGGGTAGAAAACAACTGTTCGTTGATGAAACCGGATCAGTGGGTACAAAAGATTCACATGATAAACCAATGGTGTATATAAACTCCATGACCCTAATCGAACAAATGACTTATGGACCTATTGTTAACCATCGGCTACATGAAACTGCATCTCTTAACATTGCCCTACTGCTTTATAGATTAAACCTATAGGTCAAAGTTTCTTGATGTAGTAGTCTCCTAAAAAAAACTACGTTATTCGTTTTTGGTTAAGTATTCCAGCCTACTTAAAAATCCAATACTTTGTGTGGCACATCAGTAGTAGTGTGGTGCGAGCTACTTATAAGCAGTATATGACGCGAGTGTCAACATAATGTCTGGCAGCAGAAGATGGGGGAAGATCAACAAGAAAGGAAGAGTTAGTTAGAACACAATGGAATTTGTATGAAACGCATGAATAGTGACAATGGATTGATGTTTTGCAACAGGAACAGTCCAGTTCGATATGATGAACTTATATTTTGCAAATGAACGATTTACAATATGGTTTTCCAATTTTACTGAGTAACTCTGTAATTTTCGTTAAATACAATTCGGTTGCCATTACCTGTGTTCTCCTTCACTACAGTAGTACTGAGGTGCCTCTTTATGCCAATTAATCAATACATTTTTTTTATAACTTGAGCAGTGTTTTTATTGACTGGTTGGTTAAGCTTGAAAGATCAATCAAAATCGTCATCATCAGTATTCGATACTTTCACATTCTTCTTCTTTCCCTCTTCCTTTTTTTTTCTCTTCCAGTTACGCATTATTTCATTGTTTAGATAAAGAATTTCTCCCACCAACTATGACAAATTTAAGTGATCTATTTCAACAATTATTACAACATCCGCTATTATCTGGTACGGATCGATGGATTCTATCACGATTAGCTTATGCTACAATGCAATGTCATCGAGGCTTTGTAGAATTTCAATTTCCTTTAGCTACAACGGCATGTTATAATTTTTGGTTGTATGAATTATGTGATGTGTATTTGGTGAGTGAATTTTTGAACGGGGAATTTTTTGATGTGTTTATATAATTGTTATTGGGTATATTTGATTTTAACCGATTTGACCAATTTGGTCTCGTGTGCTTATATGGGTATGAGGGCGATTGTCACTTCCCGGCTGCCCACACCGTGGAAGGTTGTTTCTTGAGGGACCTGAAAAGGAAGGTGGATTAGTGTTGGTCTTAGAGATTTGTTTGCGTGACCGCAGTGCCCAAGGGACAGTTGCTTCAGGCTGGTCACGCACGGCCTTTTAATGAAGGGTTTTTTGAGTGTTAGCTCCGCTCTTGAAGGCCCTTAGTGGGCACCCTTACCCAAGGAGACGGAAATCCGTGAGGTAGGGTGAGGTGTGACATTTTTAGGGTCGACCTTTTCTAACTCTTCCTTCCTTGTGAGAAGGCAGCATCGCTGCAGATGCTGGTTGTCCGCGGGAAACACCTTACTGCTGTCACACCCCTCTGCAGTCAGCAGTACGACTTCGCCCTCAGACCTTGAGTAGCTGCTTATAGTCTCATCGTTCTCCAATCGACCTGCCTGTCATGGTAGAATCTTCAGGAACATATGTTCCAGGCAATATAGCTCGGTTGGATCATCACGATAGGCAAGTTTGACCACCACGTCAAAGTAGCAGCTACGGTCGGATATAGGGTACATGTTAGGATATTCATCCAAATTCCTAAGAGAATTATTTTTGTAAGTCTAATTCTATTGGTCATTATTTAAGGTCGTCCTAACTGTCAATGCCACAGACTTCGCTGCTGTTTCCTATTCGACCTAACCGTATAAATACGCATTATCTGTAACGTTTTAGGACCCGGACCTGGATTCCGTATCCAGGTTCCTGATTCTCTTCTGAACTCGGACCTCGTACTTTCTGAATGCTTGTAGAATACATATTCTACTTCATACCAAGTGCTCTTCTTTTACTCTATTGGGGTTTGGGACAATCGGATTAGAGTAGCCTGTCGAGTCGCCAGATCATCGATCCTCGTTTTCGTTTTTCCAACTAAGGTACACTCGTAATAGTTTCAAGCCTATCAAAATGACATGTTTACGTGCATGCATAACAGTATTGTTCGCTTGTATTTTGATTGTTTAGATTCATCTTTCGTCCACTGTACAAGTAAGTGGTTAGTTGTCTGGACTTAGTCAGTCAGTCAGTTACAGCGTAGAATTTCGTATGTACGTTCATCAGTCCAGTTTGCCATGTCATATTAGCACACAGAGAGATGCAATATGTCAATTCAAATCCTATTGTAGTATAGATAGTTGAAGTATGAGAAGTAATCGGAGAGATTAGTGTTTGGAGAACTTATTCAACAAGTCTGATTCAGTGAAATAAGTTTAAGAAAAGAGAAAGATCAAAGTGATGAGGAACTTAGAAAATTATGATTTCAGAGAACACAAAGAGTGGTAGCACCTGCGCCATAGAAAACGATTTTGAGCCAGGTCATTCAAAGTCCCCAACTATCGGTTAGTGTAGTCCAATTAACCAGCGTGTTCACTAAAAATTTCTTAATCATGCGAATTTGACGGGTTGTTTGGTTGTTTGTTTTGCATTCATCTTTTCAATGTCACGTAGAATGTATCCGCGTGTGTGTTCACAAGAGAGAGAGAGAGAGAGAGGTGTGTTTTTGTTTTTAAAGGGCTTTGGTTTGTTATATAGTAGTCGATCAATGTAATCTACTCCGCACAATAGAACAAACATGATTGAAGGATTGGCTTAATTCCTCCACCTGGAGCTATTTCCAGAAGGAGGGTTACTGCCGGTCCCATAGCCGGCGAAAACGGAAGAAGTTTTAAGCGTGATGGAGTTAGCCACCGCATTCCGTAGAATTCCAACTTGCTAAAAAGAGTTATAAGCTAACCAGAAAAAAGTTATTATCTAGTTCGGTGGCCTTTGCTCTATTGGAGGTTTTTCTTTAGCGAGTTAGTTTTCTACGGAATAAATAAGGTTGCCCAACTCTTCGCCTTTACTCGGGCTTGAGACCGGAACTAGCCTCAGATGGATGACTCCAGGTGGAGTTTCCATTAGGGATAACAGGCTTCAAATAAGTAAGCACAAATTTGCGGGGATGTTAGATCGCCCAAACTCGCTTGATAAATGCCTTATTTTGGATTTCACGCTTGCGAGCATGGGCTGATCAGTTGACCCTGAGATTTCATTTCCCACCAGGAAAATCCTTGGCTGTGATTGGCTGCTGTGTGTGTGCTATTTTTTTGTGACTGTCCCAAGGATGTATAAATAAACGATAGTTGTATGCTTGATTGTATTGTGATTGCTGGGTGTTTGTAGCATATACTTTCTACGCTTACAAAGCCATCTGTATTCAGCTTGGGATTCAAGGTAGCCTACCTGGACGCTGGTAAAAGTCTCGTTCGTGTTTATCGACTAAGGTAAACTTGTAATAGCTTCAAGCATACCTAGTGACGAACATATCAGAAAACAATGGACGTCACACACACAACAAAGAATTTATTTATCATCCAGCTGTTAATACAATTGCAAAAATTTTGACATAAATAACTTTTGATTACCCGGATGTTTCTCTGTTTTTCACCTTCCTTTCTTTCCACTCTTTTCCACACACCCGTTCACT